ATATATATTCTGTGTAATTAATGTTGAAGTTGTTTGTCCGAGCATATATGGTACGTGTTTCTGATTGCACTTATACTTTTTGAAATTGATTTATTATTGTATATTTTAATTTTCCTAATGCAACCATTATTAATTCTTGTTCTTTTCAAAGATCCTTGTTCGTCATCGCCATGCTTAAATGGTGGAATGTGTTTTAGAAAAAATGACTATTATACTTGTATTTGTCCACGGAACTACAATGGATCTGAATGTCAAAATATAGGTGAGTACACAATAAAAATGAAACCAATTATGAAATATTTCGATCTCCGCACTTTAATGGTAGTAAGCCCATGGCGGTATTATAATATCTCCATGTGACGCATGATTCTAAGTCTGTCAACGGCATAATAGGATCGAATGCTGGGCAGTACACAATCGCACTAATGCATATTTCTCAGGTGTGATTAGCTACTTTTTATTTATCAGTCTTTGTGGGAAACAATGGCTGGATCTCGGTAGAGATACAACATTGATAGCCACAGCTAAAAATAAACGTATTTAAACAGTCACCACCACCACCACCACCATTACTATTACTGCTATGAATACTCAGCCTTGACTAGCCTACAACACTTTAATATAATACTGTATTTTGTTTTTATATCTCGTGTTAGTACCTGACGATGTTTGCTACGATGGTGAAAGGACGTTAGATAATGGCGAAACCACCTTTAATGACATCTGTCAGCAGATGTGTGAGTGTAACGATGGTGTAGTAACGTGTGACGTCACCGATTCGTGCCCAGAACCCGCATGCACCAACCCTGTGTACCTCCCGAATAACTGCTGCCCCGTCTGCTGTATGTTTGTTAAATAGTATTGTCATTCTGATATATTCCTGGTTATACAGTATTATAAAGCCAAACTGCCAGTGTCACATGACATTTACCAGCAGTGAAAACTACCTTCCCTCTATGATTAACCAGGGCCTACATACCGGTAGTGAATGAGATAGTTTCCAGGTTAAACTCTATGTTGAAAACTAGGGCCAAAATAATTCGGTCTCGGGCAGAGAGACTGAAGTCACTATGGATTTAGGTTGAAGGGTGTCGCATTTACAAGGCCGAAAGTGACGCTCTTGGATCGAATTCACTAAATGGGGGGGGGGACGATCCCAGGAGGCGGACTTCATTCGTGATTTATATAAGGAAAGCAAATTCACAGGGGTAAAAATATGTTTGACACATGGTAAACCTAAGAGCAACGTTTCCAACAGGTCGAAGTTCTTATTAGCACACCGCCACCTTCATTATTAAACACGATCTTCAAGAGATACAAATAACACAACAAATATATAATCGATATTGTTTCTCAACACGATGGAATCACGACATAATGAAGGATTATCCCAGTTCACGAGCAGCTTAGCTCAGTCGGCTAATCAGGTGGTAGCCCCTGTGTGTGCGCTGAACCGTAGAGATATCTAGGTCCCTGGTTCAATTCCCATCGCTGCTCTTCTTGTGTTTTAGCTGGAGGGCTGAAATACAAGTTTCCGTCTTTCGGATGAGACGCTTAAACCGTTGGTCTTGTGTGCAATATGGCCCATGTGCTTGTTAAAGAACACAGTACACTCTTCGGAAAAAGAGCTGGGAATTGTCTCCCGGTGTACTGCTCAATTCACCACCAGAAGGATCCCGAAACAAGTTGTCAAACTTCCTAAGTTTTCTTTGGTGTGATTCACACCGAAACACTTATATACATCTTATACGTTAGATGAGTTTTATAAATATTAATATCAATATACTGCTACTGGTATATGGAAAAGACGCAGTACCAAATGCCCAGCCATTACATAAAGCTTGTCCACACTACCATACTGTATGCGAAAACAAAATGTGAATGCCCATATATTTGGGTGTAATATGACATCATTATGCCCATATATGGGCACATCACACATTTTTTTTTGTCGCATAAAAATCGATAGTGTATACAAAGCTCACATGGGCTGATTTTAACGATTGACAAATGAAACCAGATATAAACTTACGGTAATACATTTCAGGGCCTCCTGAAGAAAAAGACGGATTTTGTCCAGAAACTTCTTTCTCTGATATTGGAACATGTGAAGACACATGTCAGCACGATGTCAATTGTACCGGTGACCAGAAATGCTGCTTCAACGGCTGCGGCTTATCATGCACGGATCCGCAATCAGGTAAAGTAAATGTAGCAAGCACATATACTTTAGAAAATAATGTTGTATCTATGTCATCGTGTAATTAGCTGTCAGTGACCGGTAATTTTTTTAAATCAATAAATGAATAAATAGGAATTTTTTTTTAATCATTTCCCCCAACGTTTATGCATTCCTTGTCGATACTATCTCAATGTATACCCTATTCTCCTCCAACGCCTATAGTAGGCATTGTATTAGCTCTGAATACAAATAGCATTGCACATGCAGTAGGCCTAAATTACGTAGTTTTCTCTCAAATATATGTTGATTTTATATTTTTATTGTACATAGTTTACATTTGTTAAGTGGAAAGGTAGTTTCCGTTCGTATGCTTCGTTTGTATATAGATTAGATATAGAATTTGTTTTGCAGAACCGACAACTTTGTGTGATCAATCTCCTTGCCAGAACGGAGGAACTTGTATTGACATTTTATCTACTGTGATTATGTGTCAGTGTTCTCCGGGTTTTCATGGAAAATATTGTGAAATACCAGGTAAGTCAGACTGTTATATTATACAGTATTTACATAATTCTGGTGCCAACTTTTGTTGATGTTCTAAGAAACCTTAAAGAGTACTGTATATACAATTATTATTTAACCGTGGATTGGGTGAGCGGGTGATAACTCGCAAAAGTTGTGATTTCAGAGGTGATTTTTAATACTTTAGCAAACCCCTATATACACCACTGATCAGATCTCCTACAATACCAAAGCTAAGCGACCCCATATCCCACTTGGTAATTTTTTTCCCCAAACCCACATCTTAATCAACTGGCTTACTGACGCTTTGCTCGAAATTCAAATCCGATTAGAGCAACTGATTCTTCACTCTTTTGCATCAGAGGTGGCGCCAGGGCCGGGCATCCACGCCGGGGAGAGGACCCCGTCGGGAAGAAAAACCACAATTCGTCGGGGAGAAAAGAAAATGCAGGCCTATGTATATACGTATTTTCCACATAATTATAAGTAGACTTCAAAATCGATTAAATAAGGCTTTGAAACACCTAAATTGTCATATTTTTCGAAGGCCTCGCCCCCCTACCCCCACCCCCTTCAC